ATTGGCCCAGTTTTCGACCACGAATATGCCAGCGCCGATGCTGAATTTAGTCTCCCAGGAGTTGTTGCATTCTGAAGGGAGGAAGGCTAGAAGGGTGGACGGGGGAGTGGGGGGAGGAGGGTGGAGGCATACTCTCTTGTTGGACGCAGCTTTTGCGAGTGCATGCCACAGGTGGAAGGAGGGGGGAGGAGGGAGAAAGGGAGGGCCCCAAGAAGCCCCCGCAGCGGCCCCAGACAGCCTCAAGAGGGCCCTCGAACGGCCCGATTAGGTGGAAAAGCCTGATCGGACAAGAACGGGGAGCGCCGATGTTGTCCATGGGGTTCCTAAGGATGATGGCGACGACAAGGTGGCGGAGAACAAGGATGACAACGTGGATGACGGGGCTCCCCGCGGGGCCCAAACCCCGGGCCCCGGCCGCGAAGGCCCTGAAAGCAACGCCCTCTGATCGTTTGTTGCCTCCACCACGTCGGGCAGCCGTGCCTGCCCAGGTCGGCGCCGCCAGGAGGAGGAGGAGGAGGAGGATCTAGGATCTAGGAGGAGCATCGAGCAGGAGGAGGAGGAGGAGGAGGAGGAGGAGGAGGAGGAGGAGGAGGAGGAGGAGGGGGAGGGAGAGGAGGGGGGGAGGGGAGGAGGAGGAGGAGGAGAAAGAGGGGAGGGGGGCAGCGATGGGAGCAGGAGGACAGCGAGTCGAAACACAAGCTGCGACTGGGGCCTCCTCCGCCGCGGGTCGCGGCGCAGGCCGCTGCCCGGCGGCAGCCGCGGGCGCGGCGGCGGAGGCCGACGCCTGGGGCGCTCGGACGGTGAGCACGGGCCTCCCCCCGATAGGGCAAGTCCTGAGGGGCAGTGCTTCGGGTGGACAGGCTCAGGGGGGTGCGCATCGACCCCCAATCGTCCACTCCTCGACGATGGAGGCCCGACAGGGCTCAACCTAAACAGTGTTTCTCGTTTTCTTCGATCTGTTGTCGTTTTCCCTTGTTCTGTCTGCAGTCCGACTTTGCTGCAAGACGACATCGAAACGAAATAGCCCTCCGAATCGCCAAAACACTGACTGTTCAGGTCGACCCCCGCGGCCCGATGGACCACCCCGCCCAGGAGCATGCGGGTGCGCGGCCCGCGGTCCTCGGTCTCGGCGACGGGCCTACGGTTCCAGCCGAGGTCCCCAGAGGCCTGACCACGTGCCCGTCGCCTGACGGTTCTGGGGCCCCAGAGGCCCCAGTCGCCCGAGACGTCCTTGGAAAAGCTCCACACGAGATTGCCTCGCTAACGCGACGACATGCTGCGGGCTGAAGGGGGTCGGGGTCGATGGGTGCCAGAGTCCCAACCCAGCCTGCCCTGAGGCGGACTCGCGCATCGCACAATCTGTCCTGGAGGTGGTAGGGGAGGTGGATGTTTTTTTGTTTTCTTTAAAAAAAATGACGGGTCTGGGGCCCTGGAGGCCCCAGTCGCCCGAGACGTCCCTGGAACACGGCCCAGGTCACAAAACCGACGGGCGACCCACCACGCGGTGTGGTCACCGCACCGGCTGAGGCCCCCGACAAGCAGGCCCCCGTTTCGGCTCGGCTGCTCTCCGGTAGGGAGGGTCGAGGATGCAGGTCCGAGGAGAGATGGCCGAGGATCACGGAAAGACGAGTACGCAGGAGGAAGGAGGAGGTTGATGCGACGCGGGGCCTTACGATGAAGAGTACTTCCCTTCAGTGCGGCCGTGTCGGTGGGTGGCGCGCATGCCACTTGCGTCACCACCTGACTCAGCCGAGGATCGAGGAAAGAGGACCGAGGATCCAGGGGTGAGGGACGGAGGGACGGAGGATCGAGGATCGGATGTGAGGGGGTGAGGTCGCAGAGAAACGGAGAGCCCCCCCACTAGGAAACCAGTTTCGGTGTCGTGTTCGTGCCGTGCGTGCGGGCGAGGCGGAGCTGCGTGTGCGGGCGAGAAGAATGAACCCTCCTCTGGCTAGAGCGCCGCCGGGCAAAAAGATGGACCCCCCAGAATATCCGGCGGTGGCCAGAGATGTCCCGTCGGTACCCAGTCGGTGTCCCGTCGGCGTCTAGTGTGTGTCCCGTGGGTGTCCCGTCAATGTCCCGTAGTGAGATCGACTGTGAGATCGATACTGAGACCGATAGTGAGATCGATAGTGAGATCGCTAGTGAGATCGATAGTGATATCGATAGTGAGATCGCTAGTGAGACCGACAGTGCGATCGATAGTGGGATTGATAGCAAGACCGATAGTGATGTTAATCTTGAGATCCATAGTGAGATCGATGGTGAGATCGAAAGTGGCATCGATGGTGATATCGATCGTGCGATCAGAGGGATAGTGAGATCTAGTGCGGGATCGATAAGGGAATCGATAGTGAGATCGATAGTGAGACCTATCGAAGGAGAACGATAATGAGAACGATATATATATATGTATATATATATGTATGTCCCGTCGGTGTCCCGTCGGTCTGCCGTCGATGTCCCGTCGGTGTGCCGGAGTGAGACCGATAGTGTTTTCAACAGTAACATCGATCGTGCAACTGATAGTGATAGTGATAGTGAGATCGATAGCAATAGTAATAAACAAATCGATTGTGAGATCGATGATGATATCGATAGTAAGATCGAAAGTGACATCGATAATAGGATCGATAGTGAGCTCGATAGTGAGATCATTAAAAAATCGAGAGTGACAGCGACAGTGATGCCCGGTCGGCGTCCCGTCGATGTCCCGACGCTGTCCAGTCGTGAGATTGACTGTGAGATCGATAGTGAGATCGAAAGTGGCATCGAGTGTGAGATCGATGGTGAGATCGATAGTGAGATCGATAGCGAAAGGAATAGTGAGATCGATGGTGAGATCGATGGTGGGACCGATAGTGAGATCGATAGTGAGATCTATAGTTGATCAATCGTGAGATCAATGATGAGATCGATTGAGTGAGACGTTGGTGCCTTCTGCCCATCCCCACGAATCTCCTTTCCACCCGAAGGGTGGTCGATAGGTATGGCTTCGAGATTCGAGGATGGGAGGATCAAGAATCGCGATGTTGTGGCGTTTTTCATTCGCTGGCGGCCTCTCAGAAGCCTCACATCGCCCTGGCCTGATTCTCCTCCGAAATTCCAACCAAGCCGCACCCCAGGAAAGGGCCGAGGGCGGATTTCTCCAGCCTCCTCCCCATGCTCCTCCTCTCCTTCTTTCCCCCCTCTGCCTCTCCCTCCTTCCCCCTTCTCCTCCCCCGACCCTTCCCTTCCCCCTCCTCCTCTTCTCCGTCTCCTCCTTCCCGCCTTCTCATGGGACATCAGGAGAGAAACAGCAGGCCATGTGCCCTTACTCGAGCGAGCACTGCCTGTAAGCCAATGGCTTCGAAAGAGCAACCACACCTGCCGTCAGAGGTTGGGCTCATACGCTTCCCCTCACCATCAGAGAAGGAAGAACGGTCTAAACATAAACCTTCGGAGGTCCGCTTGGATTTCCTGGATCGGCGCTGGACCCCTCCCTGGCGCGTGGAGCGCGCCAGGGTCGGCGCCGGAAATCGGAGCTCTGGTCGTTTATGCGCATGCCGCATTTGCTGCGTCAATCCTCCTCATCCTCTATCGCTAAGGGCTTATCTGCTGCCCTTGACTCGCGGTGGAGCTTCCACGACCCTTCCAGATTTACCCTGATACTTCTGGATACACCTCGATGTGCCCGAATTAACCCCCATGTATGTTGAATTACCTTGGTTTATCAGGCTTGATCCCCGCAAGTCGATTGGAGAAGAATCGTCAAGCCCTTAGCGACCCTCCTCGCGGTTTCCCGCCCGGCCCAAGTCCGCTCAAAATCGGTCCCCGGACCCCTCCTGTGGTCCATCCTACTAATAACCCGTTTTCCGGGGCGGATCTGGCCGTGGCAACGGAAAGCCTCCAGGAGACCCAAAAAAGACGAACACCGCCAGGGAGCTCAGCCGTTTTTGATTGGCCCTCCGATCCTCCGATCCGCCGACTTCCCATTTTGTTTGTTATCATTGATCGTAGTGTTCTGCATATTCTTCTTATCCATCTGAATAGAAAATGTTGCTCCTCTAACGTTTCTTGCTCCTCGTCCTTTTCTTAATATTATTGTTATTATTATTATTATTATTATTATGATTAGTATTATTATTATTATTATTATTATTAGTATTATTATTGTTGTTATTATTATTATTATTATTATTATTATTATTATTATTTGGTTTCTTCTTCTTATTCTCCCGTGCATCGAGGGTGGCTCTGGGCCGAGCACGGCAACGTTGTTGAGAAGGAAAGGGAAGGTGCCGAGCATACAACCTCATTTGAGAATTGCTGAAGTCATCAAGGCCAGAAGGGACCCGAAGTCGTCCATAAAACCCTGGAGCTCAAAGGCAAGAAAAGCAGAGTGGGAGAATCTTGCTCCGTCTTCCATGCTGTCTTCATAAGACGAAGCCAGGACAAAGATAGAATCGGGTGGGGGTAAATCGCGAATCTCTGAGATCCCGCGGCTCCGGAGGATGCCTCGGGCGCCGCGGCCTTCACGAAGGGTTCCAGGACGCCCTGAGAGTGTTCCGGAACGCTATGGAACGGACTTCTCCTCGTCCTACCTCCGTCCGATACTCGTTCCTCCCTGCTTGCTTCGGTCCCTTTTGACCGACGACGACGAGCCGCCGCCGCCGCCATTGACGACGACAACAATGACGACGAAGACGACAATGACGACGACACGGATGACGACCACGATGATGATGATGATGACGACGACAACAACGACGACGACAAGAATAACAACGACGACGACAGCGACGACGACGACGACGACGACGACGACGACGACGACGACGGGGCGGCGACGACGACAACAATGACGACGACAACGACGACGACGACGACGACGATGACGACGACGACGACGACGACAAAGATGATGACGACGACGACGACGACGACGACGACGACAACGACGACGACCCGAATTCCACCCGCGGCGGACCGGAACGGCGCCCGTGCCAGCGCCGCTGCTCCCCTCGGGCTCGCCCGGCGTGCTCTGCGCCCAGCGCCTCTCGCCGGGCGGGAGGACGGGGGAGTGGAGGGGGCCAAGGGGGGGGGGGAAGGGGGGAAGGGCGACGGGGGAAGGGAAGGGGGGGAAGGGAGAAAGGGGGGGGGAAGGGGGAGAACGAGGGGAAAGGGGAGGGGGGGGGGGGGGGGGGGGGAAAGGGGGGGGAGGGAGGGGGGGGAAGCCGGGAAGGGAAGGGAGTGGGGCAAAGGGGAGAAGGGAAGGGAAGGGCAGGGAAGGGAAGATTGTCGTCTTCATGTCTTCATAGCCCTCTCCCATAACCCACCTCCCCTACCTCCTGCCTCCCCTCCCACCCACCTCCTCTCCTCCTCTCCTCCTCCTCCTCCTCCTCCTCCTCCTCCTCTCCTCCTCCTTCAATTCCTCCCTCTCTCCTCCTCCTCCTCATCCCCCTCTCCTCCTCCTCCTCCTCCTCCCCTCTCATCATCATCAATCATCATCCTCATCATCATCATCAATCATCATCCTCATCATCCTCATCATCATCATCATCATCATCATCATCATCATCATCATCATCATCATCATCATCAGCATCATCATGAGCATCATCATCATCATCATTATCATCAGCAGCAGCAGCATCACCAGCATCACAAACATCACCATCATCATCATCATCCTCATCATCATCAGCATCATCATCATTATCATCAGTATCATCATCATCATCAGCATCATCATCAGCAGCATCATCATCATCATAATCATCTGCATCAGCATCAGCAGTATCATCATCATCATCATCAACAGCATCATCATAATAATAGTAATCATCATCATCATCATCATCATCATCATCATCATCATCATCATCATCAGCATCATCAGCATCATCATCATCAAGATCATCATCATCATCACCATCATCATCATCATCAGCATCATCATCATCATCATCATCATCATCATCATCATCGTCAGCATCATCATCATCACCATCATCAGCATCAGCATCAGCATCAGCATCATCATCATCACCATCATCATCAGCAGCAGCATCATAATCATCACCCTCAGTATCATCATCATCAGTATCATCATCAGCATCTGCATCAGTATCATCATCAGTATCATCATCATCAGCATCTGCATCAGCATCAGCATTATCACCACCATCATCATCAGCATCATCAGAATCATCATCATCATCATCATCATCATCATCATCATCATCATCATCATCATCATCATCATCATCATCCTCTTCCTCCTCGTCCTCCCTTTCCTCCTCCTCCTCCTCCCCCCCTCCTCCTCCTCCTCCTCCTCCTCCTCCTCCTCCTCCTCCTCCTCCTCCTCCTCCTCCCCTCCCTCCTCCTCCTCCTTCCTCCTCCCCTCCTCCTCCTCCTCCTCCTCATCCTTCTCCTCCTCCTCCTCTCCGCCCTCCGCCTCTGCCTCCGCCTCCGCCTCCTCCTCCTCCTCCTCCTCCTCTCCTCCTCCCGCTCCCTCCCCCCCCCTCCCCTCCTCCTCTTCCTGCACCCTCCTCCTCCTCCTCCTCCTCCTCCTCCTCCTCCTCCTCTCCTCTCCCTCCCTGTCCTCATCCTCTTCCTCCTCCTCCTCCTCCTCCTCATCATCATCATCATCATCATCCTCATCCTGCATCCTCCTCCTCTTGCTCCTGTCCTCTCCTCTCCCACGCCCGCATCATTTCCCTCCTCCTCTTCCTCCTCGCCCTCCTCCTCCTCCTCCTTCTCAACTTCCTCCTTTTCAACTCTCTCCTTCTCATCCTCCTCCATGCCAGTACCTAATGAATAACTCCGCCCTGTCGCACTAGCAGACGTCGGTAGTGCGGGCCAGGCGTTTCGAATGAGACTCCTCACCGTCGATTATCCTCAAGCTAGAAATGAGCAACAGCTGCACGGATGGAGGGCGACTCGTGTTCAAGAGGTGGCTCTCGCCTCAGTGGCAGCTTCTGGAACGGAGGGCGGGCCGTTTACAGCATGTGGGTCCCGCCTTAGCGCCGCACACATTCGTGTAGAAAGCTTGCAGCAGTTTCACGGATGGAGGTGGATCCTTCTCGAAGTGTGGCTGTCGCTTGAGTGCGGCGCATATTCGTAGTAAAAATTGGCAACAGTTTTAGCTTCACAGATGGAGGTCGGGCGGCTTTCAAAATGAGCAGCACTCCTCGTCGCCGCGCACATTCTCGCTACAAGCTTGACACTTCTTCAAGAATGGCCGGCGGTCATTATGCGTGGCTCTCGGCTTAGCGCCGCGCGAATTCATCGCACTAAAAGTGTGTAGCAGTTTCAAGAATTCTCGAGCTTGAAGTCCCAGGAACGGCCTTCTGGTACGATTTGGGATTGTCAAGACGCAACCCTTACTCTGTCTCGCGGAGCTGAAGTCTCAAGAACTGCGTTTTGTCACGATTGAGGAATGTCAACCGGTTGTCTTCTAATGGGGCATGTCCCGCAGTGAAAACAGATGTCTGGTAGGGTCCTATGAAGATGAAGCATGGAGAGATGGTGTATTGTCACATCTCTGTTGCGTCTTAAGTTTACACTGATCCTCCTTCTCAGCCTCCTCCTCCTCCTGCTCCTCCTCATCCTCCTCCTCCTCCTCCTCCTCCTCCTCATCCTCCTCAGCCTCCCCCTCCCCCTCGTCCTCCTCCTGCTCCTCCTCCTCATCCTTCTCCTCCTCCCCTCACTCTTCCTCCTCCTCATCCTCCTCATCCTCCTCTTCTTCCTCCTCTTCCTCATCCTCCTCTTCATCCTCCTCCTCCTATTCCTCCACCGCCTCTCCCTCCTCCCTCCTCCTCCTCCTCCTCCTCCTCCTCTCCTCCTCCTCCTCCCCCTCCCCCTCCCTTCCCCTCCCCCTCCCCCTCCCCTCCCCCCCCCCCCCCCCACCATCTCCTCCTCATCACCCTTCTTCTACTCTTCCTCCTCCCCCTCCTCCTCCTCCTCATCATCATCATCATCCTCTTCCTCCTCCTCCTCCTCCTCCTCCTCATCCTCCTCCTCAGCTCAAGCATCGGTTCGACGCTCTCCGTAGCACTTTGGCTTCCCGACGAGCTCAGAGTCGTGCCCGACGCCGCAAGGAGGCGATTTGGTGGCACCGCGCCTTCACCTGCCTCATTGGGTTGCCGATCGCGGTGGCGAAGTCGGACAAAGAGTTGAGCAGGGCTCGGCATATTTCTCGTGTTCTACTAGCGGGAGATCGGTCGAGTCAGGTCCATCTTGGGCTTGGCTTGCCCCGTCTTCGGCTGGTTCCTGAACCTGCCTGTGGCCTAGTTGCTCGTACGTGTTCACCAAATGTTTTGGGTTCCAGCAAGAAGTACCTGGTTATCGGCTGAGCCTGGTCAGCGCAAGGCTGAGCATGGCAAGCGCAAGGTCTATGCTCTGGGATATTCGTGGTTGGAGCGAGGAGGGCGAGAACGAGGAGGAGGAGGAGGAGGAGGAAGAGGAGGAGGAGGAGGGGGGACCAATGTAAACCCAAGAATCATCAACGATGTTGGAATATGCCATCCCTCCAAGCTCCCTCTTCACATGCCCCTACAAAGGTTCATTTCCACTGAAGGAACTGCCTCGTTGGGAGACGACCGTTTGAAGACCATGAAGCGTGCCAGAACACGATTCTCGAGTCTCCAACGCCACGAACCAACCTGTAGATTGCGTTCTGACGGTCCTGAGTCGTGCCAGGACGCCATTAATTCCTGGGGATGTACTGCGAACCATCGTGACTCTTGCACCCTCACAATCCTGAACACGTTCCCAAACACCATTGCTGGTACGTTGGCCGTGGGAATGCATGAAACTCCTGCAAATGTTTAAGACGAGGGTGCGCGGCGCTAAGGCGAAAAACATAATGTGAAAACAAACTGCCCTCAATCCGTGAATATTTTGCAAATGTTCAAGACGAATGTGCACGGCGCTAAGGCGAGAGCCATAATTCAAAGCGACCCACCCTCAATCCGCGAAACCCTTGCAATTTGTACACACAAATGTGCGCTGCGCTAGGGCGAGAACACACTGTGAAAACGACCCGCCCTCAATCCGTGAAAGCACATGTTTGAGACGAATGTGCGCGGCGCTAAGGCGAAGGCGAGAGCCGCAGTTTGAAAACCAACTGCCCTGAACCCGTGAAACTGTTGCAAAGATGTGAGACGAATGTGCGCGGCGCTGAGACGAGAACTACAATAAAAAAACGGCCCGCACTTAACACGTGAAGCTCTGGCAATGTTTTCCCTCTCATTATATGTATATATATAAACAAAGAACGAGTGCGCGCGGCGCTAAGGCGAGAACCACAGTTTGAGAAAGGCCGCCCTCAATCCGCAAAAACCTCTCGAAATACGAAGCCGAACGTGCGCGGCGCCAGGGCGAGAGCCACAAGTTTTCAAAACGGCCTGCCCTGAACCCGTGAAACTCTTGCAAGTGTTTGAGACGAATGTGCGCGGCGCCCAGGCGAGGGCCACATGCTAGAAGCGACCCGCCCTCCATCTGTGAAACTGTTATCAATGTCTGGACCTCAGCGATCTCAATAATGAAGCCTCAGGCGAAACGCACGACCCGCCCTGTCGACCGGCCTCGGGGTGCGACAGGAAGGAGTTACTCATAAGAGCAAGGGAATGATGCTGGAGGGGTAGAGGAGAGGAGAGGAGAGGAGAGGAGAGGAGAGGAGAGGAGAGGAGAGGAGAGGAAAGGAGAGGAGAGGAGAGGAGAAGATGAAGAGGGGGTAGGAGGAGGACTGGGGGAGGAAAGGAAAAAGGAGGAGGGACCAGAGGAGGAGGAGGAGGAGAAGGAGGAGGAGGAGGAGGGAGAGGAGAAGATGATGAGGAGGTAGGAGGAGAAGAGGGAGGGAAGGAAGGAGGAGGAGGAACGAGAGGAGGAGGAGGAGGAGGAGGAGGAGGAGGATAACGAGAGGGCAGCAGGGGCCAGGGGGGAGGCACCTCTGGCCTCGGCGGCCGCGCGAGTCGACGTCGAAGCCGCGCTCGAGGCAGTCGGGGCAGAACCAGGCGCCCCGCGGCACGGCGCTCAGGCCCGCGCAGGCGTAGTGGTAGGCCTGGATGGGAGGGCGTCAACTACAGTCGGGGCGTTGACCCAAGGAACCCAACATAAGGAACGAGGCCCCTTTTTCCCCTGAAGTTCAACTTCGGGAAATCGAAGTTTAACTTAAGGGGAAAAAAGGGGCATCGTTCCTTAATTAATTTGGGTAAACCAGAGGAAAAATGGAAAACCTTAGGAAAGCCTGATCAAGGAACACGGAGCCCCTCCCCAACGAAGAGGGTTCCTTCTTCAGCGCCCCGGCTGTATGTGGGGAGGGCAGCGTCTGACTCGAGTGGCTCGAAGCTGGGCGGGGGGCTCCTCGATGGCCCTCGCCGGGAGAAAGCGCACACGTCCGGGCGATGCCAGGCAGCTCCTGGGAGGGCCTCGCGAGAGCGACAAGGGGCTGCTGGCAGAAGGGGGGAGGCGAGAGGAAGGAGGCCAGGGGAGGAGTCAGCGTTCTTTTGGAGGAGGATTCGTGTCGCGCCCCCTCCTCCTTCTCCTCCTCCTCCTCCTCCTCCTCCTCCTCCTCCTCCTCCTCCTCCTCCTCATGAGATTACACATGAAGTGGACTACAGTTGGGGCTCGACCACAGGGAACCTTCCACAAGAAACCCAACCCGGAGACCCCAGGACGTCCATGGATTTTGGGTGTGCGAACGTCGCGCTCTCATGGCAAAACCATCGAAGCCCAAGAAGCCCAGGGCACCCTGAAGGCAAGCAGGGTGTTTCTTGGTTGACTACCTACCAGACCACCCCAACCCAACCCGAAGACCCGAATTTGACCCGAATTTCGGGTTGGGGGGGGTACGGGTTCCATTTGTTTTTTCAACGTTCCCCGACCCCCCCCCAACCGGAAATGGAGGGCAAATTGAAGCCTTCGGGTTGGGTTGGGGTGGTTTGGTGGGTGGTGATTGGTATGGCACGGGTTTCCACTGCAAGGACGGGAACACTTTGGCAACCGAGCGCGTGCTACTCTGCATGGGGCCGCACGGAAACGGAAATGGGCAACGTCCGAGGCGACGCCCGCCCACAGCGAGTCCCGTCCAAAATGGACAGGAACTGCCGAAGGTCTTCGTCCACATTCCGTACCAACCTCGATCGTACTTAGCGAGACTCTCCTCAAAGCTTTCGCCCCGAAAGCGGCCCGAAACCTGCCACCGCTCGGACGCCCCTTCCCCGCGCCATCACTCGGTTTCGCGCGAATGCCCTTGTCTGTCGAGATGGCCCAAGAGGCTCCAAGGTGATCCAAAGCCTTCGGGAGCTGGCCCCGCCAAGCAAAATCCACACGTCCGAGCGATGCCCCCCCCCTATTTTTTTATTATTAAAAAAAAAAAAAAAAAAAAAAAAAAAAAAAAAAAAAAAAAAAAAAAAAAAAAAAAAAAAAAAAAAAAAAACACACACACACACACACACACACACACTGCGCGCGCGGAAAGCCGAGGCCGCGGGCCGAGTTGCAGGTGCCGTGCATGCCGTCGCACAGCAGCAGCGCCGCCTGCGGCAGGCTCGGGGGGGGGGGGCCGCCGCCGCGGGGGGCCGGGCCGCCGATGCCGCCTGGGCGACGGCGGCGGCGACGGCGACGGCGGCGAGGGCGGCGGCGACGACGGCGGCGGCGGCGGCCACGAGGGCGGCGGCGGCGGCGGCGAGGGCGGCGACGGCAGCGAACGACGGCGGCGGCGACGGCCGCGAGGGCGGTGACGGCGGCGGCGACGGCGGCGACGACGGCCGCGGCGGCGGCACCACCACCACCATCGTGGCAGCAGGCCTGCGGCAGCAGGTCGAGATGAGGGGGGGAGGGTCGGCAGGAGGGATGCAGCGGCACGGCGGCGAGGCGGGGGGCGGCCCTCCAAGAGAGCCTCAGGCGACGCGGGCGGAGGCGCGCTCTGCGGCAACTCATGGGGGCCTAATGGGAACCGCGCGTGTGTAGGCTAAGGGACCCGTCGGTCGGAATAAGTGGGTAGAAACATGAAGTAGGAAGGCTTTGGAAGTAGATTGGGTTTCCGCCCGACCCCCGAAGAAGAGGGACGAGGGCAAACCGTTCGACTCTGAAGTAGTAAGGTGGCTAAAGTAGATATGGGATCTGGGGATCCAATAACACCTACTTTCAACGACTGGCGCGTATATGGGCCCTATCCCATGAGGCTTCGCAGAAACGCAACAGGACGGGTAGTTCCTTGTGCGAGGAATGTTGAACAAACATGTGCACTGAGTCTGGGCCGCAATCTGCCACTAAGTGGTGGACAAACATTACATAATATAGTCGACATGCTCCTGGCCCCGAACTCCAATGTCATCTTGCTGGCTCTTGCGAATCGTCGCCAAACGACGCGAATCGACGCTCAACCGACGCCAAGTCGGCGCTCTCACCGAACACTAGGCGCTAGCGCAGGCGAATGCAGATTTCAAACAACCCACAAACATGGACATACAAGGCTCATATGAGTTGCTACCGAAGGCATGGATTTGGGTGAGGTCTCCTCGTCGCCAACCTCCTTGCACACCTCACAGGCCTGGATCGTCTCGAACCCCTCCTCGCGCCGGCGATTGATAGACAGCGACCCTTGGTTCCCGCCTTCTGGTTGGGCAGATGCCCGGCACGATCTAATGTGGTCAAGCTGAGACTCTACCTCATTCACCGAAACACACACTTCCACCCTAAAGAATGTCCCTCAACAACTGTCGTCGTCGCTCTGCAACAATGATAGAAACCTGACCACTTCTCAGTGACAGTTGCCTGGAGACTGGGAGGTGGTTGACAAATCCTTCTATCTCAATCCAGCCGTGAGCTGTGCACTGGCTCGGCTCCGCACGCAAGCTTTCTCATTTGCTGGGTCGGAAACTGCTAACCGCAGTTGCACAAGCACTCAGTTTCGAACACGTATGGTTTGACAGCAGCGTGGATCCTGTCCCTTTGGTAACAATATTGGTAGTGATATCAGCAGTTCGTGATATCGGGAGGTGGTGAGACCGATCGGCAGACATTGAGATCGATAAATCGACAGATAGTGAGGTCGCTAAAACATGAATATTTCAAATGCGACCAAGCGCCAGTCGCAGACCGAAAGCCGCACCCACCCCAACCCTCCAACCACCTCATAGCCCGAAGGGCGACACTGAGATAGGCATGTATGCGGCCAAATCTGGATGTGTGATCGCTGGTGCCCTTTGCATAAACAAAAATGCTGCAACCGTCAATGCCAAAGGGACCCCAACCTTTCGGGCGATTACCGCAGCAACAAGAAGTGGTTACACTGCCTTTTGCGGGAGAGACTTGAGACGGCAGTGGTGTGTCCAAGGGCTACTCTGGACCTTATCCTTCTCCTGCTCCCCCTTTCTCCTTCCTCGGCACAATCTGTTCGAGACGTGGGCCCCCAGACCTCACGACCCTCTCCCTGGGACCAACTTTCCATGCAGTTGTTGTTTGTTTGTTTGTTTTTCTCGTCCCAAGGCCCGGATGCAGCCTCCGAGACCCAAAATGGCAAAAAGTTTTGAAGTCTCGACCTTTTCGATTGGCGAAAGTCGAAAGTCGATCCCGGACCTGTCCAGGGGTGAGCTCTGGCCTCGCATTCCGAAGGGAAATCTGGACGTGGCGACGAGGAGCACCCCAGGGGCCCAGAAAGGGCCTTGCCTTGTCTTCTCATTTCAAAAACAAAGATAACAGACCAAAACAAACCTCACTGCCCTCATGGTCTCAGTGCTTCACCCTGTCGCCCCTCCCTTCGCGGGTGGCGCACCGTACCAGCAAACACTTCGGCCAACGCCGGGGAGAGGGCCTCCTAGCCTCCCAGCTGGCGGGAAGGGGACTTCACAACGCGCGTTCGGCCACGGGCCCTCAGATCCGACGCTGCGAAAAATAAGAGATCGCGAAAAATCGCCACCAGAGCCCTCGACCACACTCTTTCTGCCGCGTGCTCCCCAGCCCTCCTGTGCTGGGGTCTCGTTTTGCACAGAGCACCGTGGCCGAGTCTCCCTCTTCCTCCCCCATCCTCCTCTCCCGCCTCCGACCTTCTCCCGCCTCCGATCTTCTCTCCCATCCTCCCCCCCCATCCTCCTCTCCCATCCTCCTCTCCCATCCTCCTCTCCCATCCTCCTCCCACCCTCCTCCCCGCCATCCTCCCCTCCCGCCTCCGATCTCCTCTCTCTCTTCTGCCCTCTGCCCCTCCTGTGGGCTCCCGGGAGGCGCCCGGCGTGGCTGCGAACTGCGCAGCCGCCGCCACGCTCTGAGGCTCCAGGGAGGTCCAGCGGAGCGAAGTGGCACACGGACCTGGCTGGCACCTCGCGGCTCCCTGCGAGGCTGCGGATTGTGCAATTTGTCGCCGCTTTCGCGGTCTCCTTGGAGGTCCAGCGGAGAGGAGTGGAACGCGGACCTGGTCGGCACCTCGCGGCTCCCTGCGTGGCTGCCAACTGCGCAACTGTCGACACTTTGTGGGCTCCTGGGAGGTCCAGCGGAGTGGAGTGGCACGCGGACCCAGATGGGGCCTCGCGGCACCCTGCGTGGCTGCGAGGTCCAGCGGAGTGGAGTGGCACGCGGACCCAGATGGGGCCTCGCGGCACCCTGCGAGGCTGTCAATTGTGCCACTGTCGACACTTTCGCGGGCCCTTGGGAGGTCCAGAGGAGAGGAGTGGTACGCGGACCCGGTTGGTAACTCGCGGCCCCCCGCGTGGCTGCGAATTGCGCAACTGTGGCCACTTTCGTGGCTCCTGGGAGGTCCAGCGGTGCGGAGTGGTACAGTCGGACCCAGACCAGAAGAACATCCTACAAGAACATGAGACCCTCCATCGGCCAAGACAACAAGAACATCCATCCAAGGGCACCCTCCCCAGAGTGCACGAAAACACACAACAAACATGAAAAGCACTAGGACACCTTCCCCGAACCGACTTCGATCTTATACCTCGGTCCGACTGGACCTCGCGGCTCCGTGCGGGGCTGCGAATTGCGCAACTGTCGCCGCTTTCGTGGTCTCCTGGGAGGTCCAACTTGTACGCGGACCCGGTTGGGACCTCGCGGCTCCCTGCGGCGCGGCTGCGAGTTGCGCAATTTGTCGCCAGTTCCGTGGGGTCGTGGGCAGACTGGCGGAGTGGAGTGGTACGCGGACGCGGTTGGCACCTCGCGGCTCCCTGCGTGGCTGCCAACTGCGCAACTGTCGACACTTTGTGGGCTCCTGGGAGGTCCAGCGGAGTAGAGTGGCACGCGGACCCAGATGGGGCCTCGCGGCACCCTGCGTGGCTCCGAATTGCGCAACTGTCGGCAGCTCCGTGGGCTCCTGGGAGGCCGCGCGGAGTGGAGTTGTACGAGGATCCAACTGGGACCTCGCAGCGCTGTCCTTTCGCGCAACGCTCGGCGCTGTCGGCAGCTCGCAGGGAGCCGGTGCGCCACGCGGCGCATGGTTTTGTTTCTTTCTCTGCGTGGCCCCCCATCCTCAGCTGCGTCCGACCCGCCATGCCACCCCGCTCGCTTGCCTCGCTCAGCGCGACACGCTATTCTGCTATAGAGCGAACGCATGGCGCTGTTCTTTCCCGCGTATGCAGCGCTCAGCGCTGCTGCTGTCGCTGAGCACGTATGTCCCTCCTTCACACCCTTCCGAATGCTTCTGTACCCGTCTCTATCTGCATTCGTCCTTCATGTTTTCTTGCGTACCAGTCGGGAGCTCAGGCACACTGCGGGTCCTTCAACAGGTTTGTTTGCAATGAGCGGTCCGATATCTCTCTACATATATGTAAATTTGAGAGTATGCAAACATATATGTATATATCTATAAAACTCACTATGTGTTAAGAAAGTGGACGTCACCGGGAAAACTTGTGAGCCGGATCTATCTGCGACGGTCCCAAGGCCCGCAAACGAGCCAAAACACCGGGCGTGAAGAATGCGACGCCTACGTCAGAGGGAGCAAAGAGGAGGAGAAGGACTGAGGTTGAGGCAGAGGAGGAGGGTCCTCCTCTTCGCCCTCCTGGTCGCGATGCTGCACCCTGTCGAGGGAGCAGCGCGCGCCCGCGGGCGCGTAGCGGGCGAGCCAGAAGAAACGCAGCTTGCACTGCGGGCAGGAGTTCTCCGTCTGCGACCTTGTACGCTTGGGGGCCGGGGGGAGAACGAGCGTGCTGGACGAGGTGGTGAAATCCAAAGGAAGCGATGCCAGACCCCCTCGCGTCGTGACAACAAAACAAGACGGGCGTGTGTTGTGTGTTGTGTGTTGTGTGTGTATGTTGTGTGTTGTGTGTTGTGTGCTGTGTGTTGTGTGTTGTGTGTGTGTTGTGTGTTGTGTGTTGTGTGTATGTTGTGTGTTGTGTGTTGTGTGTGTTGTGTGCGTTGTGCGTGTTGTGTGTTGTGTGTTGTGTGTTGTGTTGTGTTGTGTTGTGTTGTGTGTTGTGTTGTGTTGTGTGTTGTGTGCGTTGTGCGTGTTGTGTATGGTGTGTGTTGTGTGTGTGTCTGTGTGTGTCTGTGTGTGTGTGTGTCTGTGTCTGTGTCTTTGTCTGTGTCTTTGTGTGTGTGTCCAACTCCACCCCCAACATGGCAGCTGCCGCTGGAGCGCTCCAAGCGCAGGCCAGCGTCGCCTTCGGGTACATTCTCCGAAACATCGACGGGGGCGCGACCGACCCGCTCGTGGCCCCAGCGCACACGGATGACGAATTCGAGCACTGTTCATGTCACGCGTTCCAACGCGTATTACCCGGCCCCTGTCGAGCACATCGAGGCCACCGCCGTCAGACACAGGGTCAAACCCAGCCAGACGCGCGCCCTCCTCAACTCCATGTATTCGATCGCGCTGCTCATGCAAGGCCCACCAGGGACCAGGAAAACCAAGACCATTGCGGCGCTCCTCGACGTCTGGCTTCCCACGGCCCCACGCGGAGTTGCGCTAGGCTAGTTCTCGGGGTCAAACAAAGGAGCCGCCATGTCAGCCGCCCACCTGACCGGCGCCGCGCGCCAATTGGCGCGCGGCCTCCGGCTTCCCCGAAACTGCAATCCGCCTCGGGCGCGACGACCGCGCCGGTAGCGACGACGCCCGCGCGCTCACCCTGGCCGCCCGGCACGAAAAACAATACAACGTGCACCCGCGCAGCGGCGCGCCCCCCGAGACCCAAAGGCCTGGCCCACCTTCCGCAGCGGCACCTGACGTCCGCCAAGTTGCCTCTTGGCGCCCACGAGCTCGCCGCAGACCTCACGGCGGACTACTGCCCGAACCTCCACATGGCAGCGCTGGGCGAGGCTGGCCGGCAAGCTGAAACCCTGGCCTTCATTTCCCTCGCCCTCACGGTGCGGACTCAGGGCCGCCTCGTGGTCTGCGGGAACCAGCACCAGCGCCCGCCCACGGTCCCCCCCCGGCGCGCCGAGGCCACGGGCGTTGGCGAGGCCCCGTGGCCCCCGCAGACACGGACGCCAGCCTATACTGAAGTTCCTGGAAGCCCTCTGGAGAGACGGGCGGCCCTCGCAGGACGGCGCCGACAGCCTACCAGAGTGGGCATGGGCAGCCACAGGCAAGGCAGCAAGCGCCGGCACATGGCCGAATGGGCCGCGAGCAAGAACCCGCAGGCAGCTGTCGATCGTCACGAGCTCGATCCCGGCACAGCTGAAGGCATCGAAAAGCTCCCAGCGCTGCTCTCACGCGAAGTCTTTCTCAGCTTCGCCAGGGGCCTCAACGGGGACATCGACGGCTGCCCGCGCGCGGAGGAGGGCCACTTCCAGCGCGAAACGCCACCCCGCACCTTGCGCGCCACAATTGAATCCGTCGCCCCGGCCATGCGACCCAGGCCAGGAGATGCACTCCACGGTCTGGCCCACCTGCCACCGACGCGCTGCCCCAACCTCAGCGCGAGAGATCGCCCGGCCGAGCGCAACCGCACTCCACGCCAACACCATCGCGAAGGACATGGCGTCGCTGATCATGCAGGTCCACGAAAAGAACCTGCAAGAGCGGGGGCAATGGACGCCATGGAAACGCCCGGCTAGCTCGGGGGCCGCCCGCGGCCCAGTTCCGCGGCAACCTCGAGCATGGAGCGAAGCAAACTGTCGCGACTTCCTGGCCACGATCTACCTAAATGACGCCCCGGCGGACGGCACCCCCGAACGCCCCCCGCGGAACGGCAGAGAGGCCGCCCCCCCCCCCCCACCCCACCCCACCCTCGCAATGTGGGCCATCTCGCAAGGGAGAAAGGGCAAGGGGGTGTCAAGCGCCCGGACAACCATCGGCGGCCCTTCGCGGCAACGACTCTGCCGTTTCTGGCGCACCGCGAACGGGCGCTGAGCCTGTTCCTGGCCTTCCACGACATCCGCACTCTGGGCGCCCCGCTGCCGGCACACTGCGCGCAGAGCCCCGGCTCGCACCGCGCCCGCGCCAGCCGCCAGGCAGCAACCGCCCCCAGCCCTAGATGGGACGGCAGAGGAGACAGCAGCGCCAGCGCCCCCACCCGACCCTCCGCCAAACGCAGCTAGCACGCCCGAGCTGCCCCGCCCCGCAGGCCCAACCCACGGCACAAACCACGAACCCCGCGCAAACGCCTCACGCCCAGCGGCCCCCGCGACAGAAGAGGGACGCAAAGGGGGGCACTGCGACAGCGCCGCGCAAGGCGCCAGAGACCTCGCCCGGAAGGCTGGCCCCACCCACAGAAGGAACGCAACCACTGCGGCCCCGGCAGCCAGTCAGAGCGAGACAGCCGGCACAAAAGCCGCACCCGGTGAGCCGCGCCGCCCGGCCGAGCGCGGTGCAACTGCAAAGGGCGAGCCGAACTGGTCAGAAAACGAAGACGATGCTAACGCCGCAGCCCGCAGAGGCACCCCGCCCCTGGACCCCGGCCCCCCGCTCAGGGCGCACCCGGGCAGCGCGCCGCCCCCGAACGCCTTCGCCGCGGGGCGCGGCGACCTCCCCGCCGCGCCCGCGGCGTGGACAACCAGCCCAGGCGAGAAGGGCACCCTGCTCGCGCCCGCCGCTGACACGGGGCCCCTCGCTGGCCCAGTCGAAAAGGCGCGCTACCCCGACGCCCCCACCCTGCCTGGGGAGTCCGGCCTCCACAGCGCGAGAGCGCGGCAGGCCCGGGTCGCTTGGCCTGCCCCGAGGCCGCCGCACTCCGGCCCAGCCGCGCGCCGCCGGGCTGCCCGGACTACGCGCAGCACCCAGCAGGCCGGCACCCAGCTCCCCCACGCACGGTCACAGCAGCGACCCCGACTGGATGGCGGAGGCAAGGCAGGCCGCAGCCAGCGCCAGGCGCCCAATCGACCGGCGCATGGACAGCACGCGGGACCTGGGCTCGCCCGATGACCACGCTGACCGAGCCTGGCTCGACTTGGACGACAGGTTGCACCGCCTGCCACGGCCCCGCCTCGCGTTTAAGCGCACGCGCGCCCGAGGCGGCCCAGAGAGCTGGGGCGCCGTCGCCAGGCGTCTCCAGGTCGACGCTGGCCCCTACAATCCGGCGAAGGATGGAATCGCGCGCGACGAGCGCGACAACTAAGCAAAAGGGCGAATTATACGACAAGCTTGCCAGCGAAGACTTTCGCCGAAAGTTCATGGCCGATCCGCGGCACTGGAACTTCGACATCAAGAAATACTGCTGGCGGGAAGGCACCCGCGTGGACTAGGACCAGGTCTGGCGCAACCAGCAGGCCGAGAACACTCGCGGGCAGGAGGCGCGGGAGCGCGAGGCCGCCCAGCGAGGCAAAGGGCGCGATAGATCAAGGCGACGAGCCTGGCAAACGCCGCATTGGCGCGGCCTGGGGCGACACCGCCCGCACGCGCCCTCGGCGCTCAACGCCTGCCGAAGCCGCCACCGCCCGGCCACGCCCGGCACCTCTACGGGGCGCGCCTCCCCCCCCCTTGCGACGCGCCGCCCGCGCGGGATGCGCGCCGCGCACAAACTGCCCCCCGCGCCACTTCGGCGCCCCCCTGCCGCGCGCGCTGGACCGCCCATTGGGTTGCCCAGCGTCGCCACCCGACTTCTGCACCTTCCGGCGCCCCCCGCCGCCGCCGCCCCGCGACGCACCTCCCGCGCGGGGCGCGCGTCGCTCAGCCCCTGCCCCCAGCGCAATTTCGGCACTTCTGCGCTGCGCCCCATTCCGCCGCCCACTGGGCCGCCCAGCGACGTCACCCGACTTCCGCAACCTCCGGCGCCCCCCTTACCGCTGTCCGCGACGCACCTCCCGCGTGGGACGCACGTCGCTCACTCTCAATCCCCTGCGCCACTTCGGCGCCCCCCCGTCGCTCCTCGATGGGCCGCCCATTGGGTCGCCCAGCGTTCGGCACCCGGCTGCCGCGCCTCGCGGCGCGCCCCGCCGCCGCCCCCTCGCGACGCACCTCCCGCGCGGGACGCGCGTCGCTCACCCCCTGCCCCCAGCGCAATTTCGGCGCTTCTCCGCTGCGCCGCGCCGCGCCGCCCACTGGGCCGCCCGGCGGCGCCACCCGGTTTCTGCACCTCCCGGCGCCCGCCCTCGCGACGCACCTCCCGCGAAGGACGCGCGTCGCCCACCCCCTGCCCCCTGCGTCGTCTCGGCGCCCCTCTGCTACACCACGTTGTTCTGCCCTCTGGGCCGCCCAACGTCGTCGCCCGGCCCCTGCGCCCTCCGGCGCCCCCTGCGCCGCGTCGGCGCTTCCCCCGGCGCGCCGCGCGGACCGCCCTGCGGGCCGCCCTGCGTTGCCACCTGGCTTCCGTACCCGTCGGCGCCCCCCTCCTTCCGCGGGAGCCCCGCGCTGCCCCCCCTTGCGGAACTGTTCCGCTCCGCTCCTGCGGGCGCCCGGGGCGCCGTGCCCGCCGCCACCTGCATCTCCCCTCTCTTCTCTGCCCAGTCGCCCCCTGGCAGCCCGGGGCTGCCACTTTCCTTTCTGCCAGGCGGTCCGACCGCGCTGCCACTTCCGGCTGCCCCGAGACCCCCCCTGCATCGCCTGCCGCCCAGCGGCCCCCTGGCGCCTGGAACGCTTTGCCCGCTGCCCCCCGCCCCGCCCCCTGCCCCCGGCCACCAGGCCTCGGGCGGTCGCCGCAGTACCCCTGCTAGTTCAAGCCACCCGCTGCTCTCGCCTCCTCACGGCTCAGCGCTGCGCCGTCTCCTCGGGGCGCCGCGGCACGACGTTCGCGAC